TGCACGTAAAAGATCCCTTGGCAGTTGGAATTCGATAATATAAGAGTAGACCGTAGCGCCACTGCCCGGGCAAAATTTCCCTCATAGCACACTGTAGTATGCCCGTCTTCATTAGCCCAGTTGGGAGCAGAACAGTAGGATGTTAAACCCGATTTCTTTTTTTTCTTCTCCTACAAGTTCGATGTAGTAGGAGCGGCAACACCGCTGCCCGGGCAATACTTCCCTCATAGAACACTGCATGGCCCGTATAGATTAACCCTACATGCTCTGGTGTAGAAAAGCAGAATTTTATACTCCACCATTTCCTTTGAAGTAGTAAAGTTTTCTAATAAAAAATTTAATAACCACAAGTAAGCATTTTGAAAGTAATTTACTGTAGCCTAATTAGACAGAATTGTAATTAATACAGTATACTGTTCTGTTGAACAATCCACACGATCTAATTAAGCTACAATAAATTACTTTCAAAATGATCACTTGTAGTTATTAAATTTTTATTAGAAAACTTGACTACTTGTCTAACGACCCATACACATCATTAAAAGTTTGGTATATCTGTGCGATTACCGCGTTGTTCCGCCTGTTATAAATGTCTTTTGGAAGAAACGAAGGCGACTGAACGTCTGCTCAACTAAAATAGGTCTTCTTCCTAGCTACTTCAGTCAATTTTATATTTTGCTGTTAACGTTAGAAAGTGGAGGCGCTGGGAGGAGGTGTGTGTGTGTGTGTGTGTGTGTGTGTGTGAGTGTGGGTGTGGGTGTGTGTGTGTGTGTGGGGGGGGGGGCAACGCGCGCCTCGAGCATGGTCGGACCGAGGACTTCAAAGGCCGGTGACCTAGTGACGGGGCCCCTCCGATGCTCCGAGGGCCCTCCATCGGAAGTCCCTTGGGCCCCCTCAATCCATGGTGTGTCGCGATCGACATCCGAGAATTCGATGTAATCCGGTGATGCCGGCCACAGCTCCGCGGTCGGTTATCAGGGGCCCCCCACATTGTTCCGGGGGCCAGGGCCCCCACCATGGTTAATCCGGCGTTGGTGTGTGTGTGTGGGGGGGGGCTGTTTCAGCTTTCTGTTCCTTTATAAACCCATCACGGTAAATCTCTGAGCCCGGAATAACTTGCTGTCTGAATTTGGGGGCGGCTTTGGATATATACAGGAGAATTTGGGGTTATTCTTCTAAATGTTTTTCTTTAAACCTCTAACGGGTTATTTTTCCAAGGTAGGGTTTTTTCCCTTAAGGTTTTTCTTACGGGAATTCTTAGATATTCTCATTTTGCGTACATTTAAACCCTTGACAGAAAAACTTCGGCTTTTTCTTTTCCTCGGATTATTTTCTTCCGCCTTTCTCTCCCCAGCATAACCTCAGTCTCGCGCTGTATCCTGCATTGAACTGCTAGGTAAGGGGTTGTTTAATTTAATCTACTTTTACTTTAATTCCCAAACGTCAGGGGCTCATTAAGGTGTTCAAAAATTATTTGACTTTTCTTTTTCTTTTAATTTTGCCGGAGTCATCATCGTGGGTTCGATCCCGGTGTTGGCCGAGAAGGTTGATCTGGATTTTCCGGCGTGGTTTACCACGGTCAGTGGAGCAGGGCAGAGGGCTCGCCAAGGACAGCTGTCTAGTCGTTCGGATGGGCCACATAGGCGTGCACGCAAAAGATCCCTTGGCAGTTGGGATTCGATATAAGAGTAAGTCGTAGCGCCGCTGTCCAGGCAAAATTTCCCTCACAGCACACTGTGTGGCGTATTTCCGTCTTCATTTTTTTTTTTTTTTTATAAACAATATTTTATTCAGGATGTCTGAATGGGATTGGGGAACAAGCTCAGCCTATGTAAAACCCCTCTCTTTCATTAGCCCAGTTCGGAGCAGAATCCCCATTTCATTTCATTTCTTTTAATTTTGTAGGTGATGCAAGTCTGTGTGTACAGTGAGGGGAGGGGGTGACAGAATGGTTAGCACGTGCGCGCTGTATCTTAATGTCTGTTATTGAGTCAGATGGCGTGGTTTCGATTCCCCGGATGTACGTGACACGGAGTAGGGTCGCCTGTCCAATCTCGTGGGTTTGTCTGGGTCCTCCGGTTTTCTCCCACTGCTAAAGAACCCTACACGCAAGCGAATTATTGAAATAAAATTGAACCATGTGTTAGTCCTGAAATGATCTAGTTTGTGTCAAGTGGACGTTAAACCCCATCTCCCTCTCCCCGCCCCCCCCCCCTCTCTCTCTCCCCTCTCTCTCTCTCTCTCTCTCTCTCTATACAGTGATGGTCCATCGCTTTAAACGATGACCCCGTATAGCTAGGTGGGGTCGATATCATAGCAAGGCGGGGTATACATGTGAATGTTACAGTTAATTAAACTGTTAAATTATCCAAAATACCCACGTTTTTAACCCGTATTTTATTATAATACACTTCTAATAGTTTTCATATAAAACTGACGACTAAAGGCTAGGTCACACTAAAGACTATACATTCTCCATAGCCCGATTAAAACTCTTTGTGGCATATTTCTTGGGACCTAACAGGTCGAGCAAACTAGTATATAAAGGATAATGAAATTTCTTTGAAACTTGACACAGACGCCGAGCGAAGCGTTGTAAATTTTTTACTTTGAATATTAAATACACTTTAAGCATCTCAATGATCGGATGAAGTTCCGAATATGTTTTGTTTGAATCATATTTGAACCTTATTTACTATATCCTGAAATACCATGAATCTTTTTTGAAAAAAGGGGGAGGGGGAGGGGGCGTTGAATGTGACAAAAAACGGGTAATGTGTAATGGCCTTAAAAAGTCGAGTCGATAAAAATCGTATTGTGTTTGACAGAGATCGTCAAGAGAGAGAGAGGGGAGAGAGAGAGAGAGAGAGAGAGAGAGAGGGGTGTTAACGCCCACTCGACACAAGCTATGTCATTTCAGGACTAACATATGATTCAATTTTATTTCAACAATTCGCTTGCGCGTAGGGGTCTTTGGCAGTGGAGGGAAACCGGAAGACCCGGAGAAAACCCGCGAGGTTGGTCACGTAAATACCGGGGAATCGAAATCACGCCAGCTGACTCAATGACAGACCTAATGATACAGCGCGCACGCGCTAACCATTAGGCAATCTAACCCCCGAGATCATGCAGTGTGAACTGGGTCTTAGTTGTATTTAATGTGCAGTGGACTTAAAAATACGAATCGATAAAAATCGTATTAAGTCTGACAGAGATCGTGTAATGTAAACCGGGCCTTAGTTGTATTTAAAGTACAATATGAAGGTAAAGGTGTTAATGGGGGATTATTTATCGTTGTTATCTTGTCGTGGTTGTAATAAAATGGTCATTACAATATCTAAATGTTCTATCTATACATTCTCAATATCTCATATCATTGTATAATATCTTTATACAATGTACATTTATTAAACATGTCACAACACCCATGGGTGGGTCCAACCTCGGATGGCGGAGCTTCACATTTACTGGGACTGTGTGCTCTCCCGAAAGGTTCAAAAACTCATATAAAATGGACCATTTAATACCTTTCTCGTTATGAATATTTTGGGCGCTTCGAATAGTTTATTTTAAACGAGTTTTAATAATAAAAAAGACCCCCCCCCCCCGCCCCGCCCTCCTCCACTCGACTCGCCCCACCCATCCATCGGTGAGTAATAACCGTACTCTGCTGTCGTCATTCTCAAAGAATTGACACGGAGATTCAACAGAATTTATGGGTGGGTGTGGTCGAACATTATTTCCTGTGTTGCAGCATGATAAGGAAGAGAACTATTCTCAATCTCGTTAATACGTAAAGGAAATGAAATGGGGTTTAACTTCCTACTGTTCTGCTCCTATACTGGGCTAATGAAGACGGGCATATGCCATACAGTGTGCTATGAACGACATTTTGCCCGGGTGGCGGCACTATGGCTTATATTCTCATATCGAATTCCAACTGCCAAGGAATTTTTTACGTGCACGCCAATGTATACACGGGACCTCGGTTTCTCGTCGCATCCAAACGACTAGTCAGCTGTTCTTGTCAGGAGCCACGGTGGCTAAGTGGGTAAGACGCTGGCTCGCTAGTCTGTTCGATCCCTGCATTGGACGAGAAAGTTCATCGGGGCTTTCCGACGTGGCGCCCCTTTGTCAGTGGTGCAGGACGGAGGGTCTGACAAGGACAGCTGTCTATTCGTTCGGATGGGACAAAAAAACATCGGTCCCAGTCGGAGCAGAACAGTAGCACTGAGAGCAAACCGGAGATCTCAAACCTAGCGAGTCAGTGTCTTACTCACTAAGCCACCGCGGCCCCCACATTATAATAGTTACTAAATGTAAAAACGACACTGTTCACAATGCGAGCCTATGAACATGCATGCCAGAAACTTCTAAATCTTTTATAAATGAGGGAAATTTTGCCCTGGCAGTGACAGTACGACCTACTCTTATATCGAATTCCAACTGTCATGGGTTCTTTAACATCTACGAAAATGTGTACACGCAACCTTGGTTTTTCGCCCCATCCGAACGACTATACGTTAATTGTTTTTGATAATAAGGTGAGTCTAGGGTTATTTATAATAATAGTCCTTTCATAAATGAAGTAAGGGTTTGTTCCATCCGAGCTTTTAGTTCTCTCCTTGCCACTGTCAAGGAACTTTCTGGAACCCGGGGCATAGCACAGCAACACATTCGCTGACCATTTGGGTCCCGGATTAGGATGATCGTGCAGCCCCTAAACATGAAAAATAAACCCCTTTTAGATTTTGTGAATCTAATATTTAGCCGACAGCTTATCGCATATCTACACATACGTTTAATCGCAGCAAACACGCAAAACACACTTAAACAAACGTAACTTGTCCATCAAAAATTCTCTAACAGATAAAACGCACTGTAGGTCAAAGGTCACGGGAGATTAAAACCTGAGATTTAACCCCCCTCGAGTTTAATGTTTTGATCACGTGCCAGCGCTATGAACCAATAGCGAAACATTTGACAAAAGAGTAGGCAGTAAGAACGTGCTGATGAGTTATAATACGAGGGTATATCGAATAACGTGCGATACTTCTGACAGTATTAACTGCTAAATCCCGTTATATTCCCGTTAACTTCTACCACGTGGTGTTTGACGCGCCAAAAAGGATAACGCACGTGCCGTTTGGCGCCCACTCGTAGGTAGTAAATGTGGTTTTGTTCAAGGTTGGCTGTTTATATATTATAAATACAAGGGTTTTTATATGATATCTCAGTGTAGAGAGCGAGTGGACTAGTAAGCATGTATGAGATCAACTCGAGATCTCTCTCGCTAAACTAAATTCAACATTGAGTGCTACAATCCTGCCGTGTGTGTATAAAAAGGCTAGTATGTGTAGCTTGTTGGAAATCCATGGAATATCATGCCACAAATATAGCACATAGTCTGCGAACACCACGCTTTATGGAGACGAATTGTTTTGACTTGCTAGACTGACAGCTAGGAGACCCACATGCCGTAACCTGGATTCGATGTTTACATTTTTGAAAGTGGGCGGGGTATTTAGTATTAGGTAAAACCGCGACCTAGCTGTATTTATATATATATATATATCTATACATGAAACGTGTTGAACGGTGTGATACACTGTAAGTTTCAACCGTCGAGTTTTGCAATTATTGATTGCATTATAAGCGGCGAGGAAGTGTTCACAGAAACGTAGCCTATTTGGCTGATATCGCCTATCCAGTTAAAATACGCTACTGTTGTAGTAGTTGAATATTACACACGTGTTGTCATTTCTCAGTCATTCGTCAAACTGGATTCCAACCGAGAAACACTTCCTTCTGTTGGCCCCAGACCTACCCAGAGACCGGCGACATGGGCAAGACGTAAACGTAGTCACGGAAAGATGTTGACAACACCACCCCCGGGAGAGGGGGAGACGGATCTACCCCCCGAAGTTCGAGAGGAGTATGAAGGAATGGAAAAATGGTTAGACGAACATCCGGAATATGTTCATGATTATTTTGCTAGGAAAGCGCAACAGAGTATGGTGGACGGATGGTTGATTTCTCATGCGATATCGTCGTCCGGTCTTCAGTCGGACCCTAGTTTGACATCGTCCAGCAGTTCCAACTCTAAACCCAGTTCGGGGGCTAACACCCCAGTGAGAAAAATATCGGCCCAGGAATTCGACAAGGGAGGGATTCTAAAACCAATTATTTCAACCGTTGACGGTACCCCGACTTTTTTAGATCCGATACCATCGAATTCCGGTCAAACGAAATCCCATCGTAAGTCAAAAAGCGAATTAAAGGCACTGGATGAGAAGGAACTCATGTATGAATTAGTGATTGATATTTGCAACGATTTAGATCTACGGAGTCTTTGTTACAAAATCCTTTTAAATCTGTCAATTGTGCTTAATGCAGATAGGTGTTCTTTGTTTCTTGTCCAAGGGAAAGGGACGAATGAAAAATGGCTAGTGTCGCAACTTTTTGACGTTAGCTGTGATTCGACTTACGAAGAAATTTGTGAGCGTGAGGAGGAGATTAGGATACCGATGGGGACGGGGATCGCTGGTTATGTGGCGCAAACAGGAGAGGTAGTCAATATCCCAGATGCCTATCAGGTAAGTCATTTTATTTATCCTTTCTTCTGTCATTCCTATATAAAGATTCTCAACCATGCCTTTCTGTATAGAGAGGGAATATGGGACTGTGATCCTGTATTAATAGTTTATCACCTTTATTTTATTTATCCTTTCTTCTGTCATTCATGCATTTAGATTCTCAACCATTCCTTTCTAGATATAGAGAGGGAATATTATTTATATTTTATCACCTCCATTTTTTTTTTGCAGTTTTGTTATTTATTCTTTTTTTTTTTGAATCAGTAATTTTTAAAAGATGTTATATATTTATTCAGATTTTTTCTTTTTGAAAAATCATTCTTCCATCAACATTTCTCCATTCATCACTTCTCCTTGTAATTCTCTATTTTCCATTGAATTGATTAATTGTGAATTATGTAGACATTTATTCAGTTATTCATTCATTCAGTTAGTTAGTTATTCATTCATTCATTCACTCACTCATTCATTCAGTTAGTGTATAATTCATTCATTATTTGTAGAACATGTTTCAACCCATTCTAGTGAAGTATACATGGATTATGTACTTTTCATTCATTCATTCATTCATTCATTAAAAATATATTAGTTGTAGAACATGTTTCAGCCCATAATTTATACATGCATTAAATTATGTATTTTCCATTCATTCATCATTCATCATTCATTCATTCATTCATTCATTGATATTTGTAAAACCCGTTCTAGCCCATTCTAGTGAAGGACACATGCATTAAATTATGTACTTTTCATTCATCCATCCATCCATCAGTCATTCATTCATTTATTTGTTCATTTGAAGATATGCAGTATACATTCACTGAATTAATTATATACTTTTAATCATTACATATGTGCAAGTATTTTACTATAAGTGTTTTTAATCATAACATATTTAGTCAAAATTCGTATTTTGATGGTAATATTTACCTATTTATTGATTCATTTATTCATTTATTTGTTCATTTGTAGATATGCAGTATACATTCACTGAATTAATTATATGCTTTAAATGGTTACATATTTGCAAATATTATACTATAAATGTTTTTAATCATAACATATTTAGTTGAAATTCACATTTTGATGACTCCACATGTAATATTTACTTATTAAAGTGATCCAATATTTCCTCACATAAACAAACAAACTATATGATTACATGTACATTATGATAACATACACACATGTTATTTTTCATTTTAAAGCCCCTGTGTGGTATTTATAATTTATTTTTAATCTACTGTCAATATTCCTTATTTACATAAATAGTATATTATTAATTATCTCTGCCTTTATATATCGATAAGTAGGGTAATATTTAAAGTACAGCTAAAGTTTGTTAGATGTGTGAACTTCTCAAAAGTTAAGTGTTATCAATCTAAACAGCTTTTATCAGCACTGGGAATTATAGCTAAAGTTTGTTAGCTGTGTGAACTTCTCAAAAGTGAAGTGTTATCAAGCTTAACAAAGTAGAGGTTTTTTCAAGCACTGGAAATTACAGCTAAAATTTGTTAGCTATGCGAACTACTCAAAAGAGAAATTTTATCAAGCCTAATAAATTACAGCTAAAGTTTGTTAGCTATGCGAACTCCACAAAAGAGCGATTTTATCAAGCCTAATAAACTATAGCTAAAGCTTGTTAGCTATGTGAACTCCTCAAAAGTGAAGTGCTATCAAGCCTAATAAGCTAAAGTTTGTTAGCTATGCAAACTCCTCAAAAGCCTAATAATGTACAGTTGAAGTTTTATCAAGTCTTATAAAGTGCAATTGTTATTAGCATTGAGAACCTTGGCAAAAGTGAAATGTTATCAAGCCTAACAAAGAATAGCAAAAGTTTGTTTCCTATGTTAATTCCTCAAATAAGAAATTTTATCAAGTCTAATAAAGTACAGCTAAAGTTTGTCAACTGAGCAATTTCCTCAAATAAGAAATATTATCAAGCCTAATTGTGCATGGGAGCTGAATGGTGTGTGATACTTTGAATCTGGATCTAAAAGCGAGACCGACAGGCCGACCGATTGGGGTTTAATCTCCACTAGAAACTATCTTTATCTTTTGAGACTTACACAAGGTGGTATATTCAGTGACTCAACTGCTGGTTTACGAGCCACAGCTGGGGAGAAAGGGAGATGGTAATGGGCGTCCTCGCTGAAAGAATTCCCACCAGGCGTCGCTAGTAAAAACTCGGTTCCATGTGACCTTATCGATGGTAAGAGAAGCGTATTCCGAAGTATTGGGATTAAATTCCATATTAACGACAAAAACTAACATTTGTCAAACATCAGTTTGTAATGAATGAACAGGACAACAATGCTGTAAAGTAAACGATGAGGTCATGATGTCACCTATAAATTATGCCTCTTTATCTCTAGTGAGGAGGAGGGGTTTAATGGCTGAATGGTTAGCACGCGCGTGCTGTATCATACGGTCTGTCATTGAGTCAACTGGCGGGGTTTCAATTCCTCAGTTGTACGTGACAAGGAGTAGGGTCGCCTGTCAAACCTCGTGGGTTTTCTCCGGGTCCTCAGGTTTTCTCCCACGGTTAAATACCCCTACGTTATATGTTAGTCCCGAAATTACCTAGTTTGTGTCGAGTGGACGTTAAACCCCATTTCTCTCTCTCTCTCTCTCTCTCTCTAGTGAAGACGCCTATTAGTGAACTATTACACATTGTCAACCACTGTGCCTGCCATTGCTATTCCAGTGCATGCATTTACTTACATCTTAACAGCTGTTAAAAACAGCCCTCAACCATTTATCTGTTTGCAGAATGTACTCGGGAAGTATTTTGATATATGAACTGTTTTTGGCTACTAACATATTTATCCTGGTAATTTGAAAATATTTTTCTTGGTAGTTGAAACAGGTTTGAAAATGGTTGGTTGGATTGTCGATATCTTTAATTATACATGTGGAACCCTTTAATGATTCCAATGTTGATATAACTACAAATGAGAAAATCTGGAATAATTTAGTTTATAGCTGGGGGGCTGGGTGGCCGAATGGTTAAACATACATTATGCAAGAGCTAAATCTGCCCATTGCAGGTCTTTCTTTAGGCCTGAAATGTTATCTAAATTATTAATTAGACCTTAATTAACCTATCCAGGCCATAATCAACTCTAGATGGCAGCGCTAGCCTGCGATCTTTAGTGGATTGTGGGCCGTTTTACTGCATAACTTTCCTTCTCGATTTAACAATTAAATGGATAATCGAGACTATGCTGTTCATTGTACTGACTTTAGTAATGATGACCGAGGCTAGGGGAAATTTCAGTCGCTTAGTTCTCGGTTCATAGTTGATCAATTTGAATGAAATTTTCAGCAAATTACCTTTACATTATCTAGTTTTTAACTATTATAGTGAGAACTGCCAACTCGTTACCGAATCTCCCATAATGTATCTTTAACATGTGCACGTGGCATCATAAGTCATTGAGTCAAGTGGCATGGATTTGATTCCCATGTCGCTTGTACGTGACAAGGAATAGGGTCGCCTGTCCAACCTCTTGGGTTTTTTCCAGGTCCTCCGGTTTCCTCCCACTGCTAAAGACCCCTACGCACCAGCGAATTAATGAAAAGAAATTAAACTGTGTGTTAGTCCCGAAATGACCTGGATTGTGTATGTATTAAAGGGCCGTGGATCGGGATACACTGTATACAGCTCATACTAAACTTACGTTGTCTGTCTACTGTTAGCTCCGCTTGAGAACAGACACTAAGAGACGATTTTAGAAGAAAACACTAATTTCGAGAATTTTGAGAACTATATATTCTGTGTTCATTTAATAAAATTGAAAAGGTAAACCAGATTAGAACCACATTACAAAACAGCATACGTTGGATATGGCAGCCATTTATCGCAGAGACCTATTCTCGAAGTATGAAGCAGACATATCTCTGCTAGTTAGTCCTGAAATAATCTAGTTTGTGTCGAGTGGACTTAAACCCCCCCCTCCCTCTCTCTCTCTCTCTCTCTCTCTCTCTCCCCTTGATTTAATAATTAATTACTTAGGTTTTTTTTTCTTATATAAAAATGTTAAATAATGAAGTTTTAGTATATTTTAGCACAGATTAAGACGTGGGAAATTAGACATTGTCTGGAGAATGAAAATGACAAATAGGTAAAATTCTCCACCTACACCCAGTATTAAAATACCAAATACATGTAAATGATCTACTTTCTTGTACAACCCAATGTTTACATTTTACAAACTGTGTTGACAACTAAACAGTTGAAATAGTAGAACATGTAATGAAGGGTCAACAGGTTCAAGTTTTATGAGGAAATCCGCAGCAAGTCCTTGAGTCACAAAATTTAACAATTAAATCTTAAAGGCACAGTTAGACCTTTTTGATGGTGTTTAAAATGAAGTGTTGACGAGGGTTGATTAATTAGTGAATTGGACAATATTTATTTGTTTACATTTAAATGTACCCTCTCCACAGCCCACTTAAAAAATATCAATTGATTTTATTTTATCCACTCATAAAAAAAAAAAATTTGTCTAGACCAAATAATAACAAAATAATTTCTGAAAGTATTTAAACCGAATAATAACAAAATAATCACTGAAAGTATTTAAAAACCGAATAATAACAAAACAGACACTGAAAGTATTTAATCACTGAAAGTATTTAAACCAAATGATAACAAAATAATTACTGAAAGTATTTAAACCGAATAATAACAAAATATTCACTAAAGGTGTTTAAACCGAATAATAACAAAACAGACACTGAAAGTATTTAATCACTGAAGGTATTTAAACCAAATGATAACAAAATATTCACTGAAAGTATTTAAACCAAATAATAACAAAATATTCACTAAAAGTATTTAAACCAAATGATAACAAAATAATCACGGAAAGTATTTAAACCAAATAATAACAAAATATTCACTAAAAGTATTTAAACCAAATGATAACAAAATAATCACAGAAAGTATTTAAACCAAATAATAACAAAATATTCACTAAAAGTATTTAAACCAA